CCACTGTTTTAGCCAGCTGAGATTTCTTTAGATTACATGTTCGCAGGTTCGACCCCCGGTTGGGGCAAAGTCTGTGATACATTATCAACGATAAAGAGCTATCTGTTAATCAAGAAATGTGAATCCTAATGTGTTATAGTAACTGTTATTGTGTTTATATTTATTTATTACCTTCAAAAGAAAAACTCCTAAGGTATTATTTATATTTAAGATATGGACCATGTAGTATAAATAATTTACTTATGAATGAGACATGTAGATATTAATCAAGAAAACATCTTTATTGTAAACAACAGAAACAAAGCAGATTATGTACAAAACATATAATATATAAGTAACAATAAGGTAGAAGTAAATAAAGTAAATAATATTTTGTTAAATAAAGTAAATATAAAAAAGTAAATAAAGCAGTAGTAAATAGAGAATTAAATAATGTAAAAGTTTTAAAACACACAGGATGACAATTTGGCATTAACAGACACACAGGAGGAAAACAACAGAAGTGATAACTATTCATGAAAAAAAACCTTGTCATTTTCCCTTTTCAGCCTCCCATCTATTCTTTTCAGCCTCATAAAAAGCAGACTCCTTGAAGTTCTTCCAGGTCATCTTCTTCTCCATGCCCTGATCCCTGTAGAGTGATAACACTTTAGCAGGACAGTACACATACTTCCCTGCTACTCCTGGGAATCCTGTGTGTATGTGAGGACTGTTTGGGCCCTGCTTGAGTTCCTTTCTACAAAATCCGCATTTTCGACCTTTGTGCTCGGGCTCAGTGTTCTTTCTTTTTAGCTGGACTCTCGCCTCCACACTTTGCTTCATAGCTTCCAGTTTCCGCGGAAAGAAAGCTGTCTCCGCAAAGTCTCCAAATGGCATTTTAGGGTCTGTCAGACCTTCAGCACCATAAGTTTTAAAAACGTTGGTGGAGCAGTAGAAGTATCTGACAGTGCCCTGCATGTAGAGGTGGTGGATGGAAGAGCCATCATTTTCAAAGCGGGCCTTTGGCTGGCCGCAGGAAAGACACCTTTTTGTTTGTTTCTTCTTTTGTTGTTGTTGTTGCTGGTTGGCCATAATGTTTCTGACCAAATTCTCAACATGTTCTAGTGTCAGAAGTGTGGCTGGGGTCTGAACAGTAGGTGTGGCTGGGGTCTGAACAGGAGGTGTGGCTGGGGTCTGAACAGGAGGTGTGGCTGGGGTCTGAACAGTAGGTGTGGCTGGGGTCTGAACAGGAGGTGTGGCTGGGGTCTGAACAGGAGGTGTGGCTGGGGTCTGAACAGGAAGTGTGGCTGGGGTCTGAACAGGAGGTGTGGCTGGGGTCTGAACAGGAGGTGTGGCTGGGGTCTGAACAGGAGGTGTGGCTGGGGTCTGAACAGGAGGTGTGGCTGGGGTCTGAACAGGAGGTGTGGCTGGGGTCTGAACAGGAGGTGTGGCTGGGGTCTAAACAGGAGGTGTGGCTGGGGTCTGAACAGGAGGTGTGGCTGGGGTCTGAACAGGAGGTGTGGCTGGGGTCTGAACAGGAGGTGTGGCTGGGGTCTGAATAGGAGGTGTGGCTGGGGTCTGAACAGGAGGTGTGGCTGGGGTCTGAACAGGAGGGGTCTGAACAGGAGGTGTGGCTGCGGTCTGAACAGGAGGTGTGGCTGGGGTCTGAACAGGAGGTGTGGCTGGGGTCTGAACAGGAAGTGTGGCTGGGGTCTGAACAGGAGGTGTGGCTGGGGTCTGAACAGGAGGTGTGGCTGGGGTCTGAATAGGAGGTGTGGCTGGAGTCTGAACAGGAGGTGTGGCTGGGGTCTGAATAGGAGGTGTGGCTGGGGTCTGAACAGGAGGTGTGGCTGGGGTCTGAACAGGAGGGGTCTGAACAGGAGGTGTGGCTGGGGTCTGAACAGGAGGTGTGGCTGGGGTCTGAACAGGAGGTGTGGCTGGGGTCTGAACAGGAGGTGTGGCTGGGGTCTGAACAGGAAGTGTGGGGTTGAAAACAGCAACAAGCATGGTAACAACTGGCACCCTGGTGGTCTCACTACCCTCTGTGAGAGAGTGCCAGAGGACCTGCCTCTCTTGCAGTTTCTCCGGGCTGATGTTTATGGAGGAGCTGGTGTTCAGAAGCTTGCTGAGATGCTTCACATACTGACAAATGTGGTGTTTTGTTGTTGGGTGAAGCATACTGTTTGGGTCTGTGCAGGAGTCAAGCACAAGAGCAGCATAGTCCTTGTCCACAAGCTTCAGCATGTCCTTCTGACTATGGTGTTTGTTGAGCAGGTTGTCAACAGCCTGCCTCATAGGGCCTGTCCAGCGCTTGTGGTCCAACACAAACACCCTCCCACCAGTCTTCACAGGTCCAGTGCGAGCCGCAGTTGGCGAGGACAGCAGAGACTTCAGACATGTGGTTTCTATAACAACAAAAGACAGATATTCATTAATGTCTAAGAAAACAAAGGTTCTGTATAGAAATAAATGATTGGAATCCAGTCACTGATGCTGAAGGATTATTCACTACTTTGTCTGTGCGTCTAAAGTTTACCTGGCTCTGTGTAAGGCTCCAGAGTCGTTCCTGCAGTCACCTCTTGTTTTACTGAAGGAAGGTTTGCAGGAAACTGAAACAGCTTGGTTGGGGGGATGAAGCGTGGCTGAAGAAGCTCAGACTGGGCAGTGGGGTTGCTGCTTTGAGGAGGTGTATCCAGGGCCTGGGTAGAGTCTGCCTTACTCCTGTGCTTATCCCAGTCTAGAGGAACTGGGCGGCAATCAGGCTCCACATATTCCAGGCCAAACTTCTCTCCAGTGTCTCTGTTACGGCCCGTACACACAGCAGCTTTTGGCGATTTGTCCACCGCTTCCAGCGCGTCTCCGCCCATTGACTTTGAATGGGGATGACGTCACTTTCCCTCGCTTGTCGCCGAACTGCATTGTGGGGGGGCGAGGCGAAGATTTCCAGGATGTTCAGGATTCCAAAGTTGAACAATGTTCAACTTTTGAGGCTGAGCTGGAAGCGACAGCCAATCAGATCCGTTTATGCAAATCTGACAGTTCATGCGCTAGCCCAGGGGTGGCCAACCCGCGGCTCTCGAGCCGCATGCGGCTCTTTGCCTAGTTTCATGCGGCTCTTCAGTTCATATCGAATTTTATATGTGTGAGTTTGGGGGAGAGACACTGACTCCTGACTAGTGTTGCATGGTGTACCGATACTTGAAAGGTATACCGCGATACCCTGCCGTTAAAAACGTTACGATTCCTCCGTTTCATTAGTATCGGTACTTTAAGAATGACGGGGGAAAGTACTCCGGTGAGAAAGCGCCGTTTTAATAAGAGCCGTGTGTGTTCAGCGCTCTGCTTCCACTCCCTGCACTGCAGCCGTCCCTGCAGTCCCGCCCCTCTCAAGCACGCTCTAAGTCCCTCCCCTCTCAAGCACGCTCTAAGTCCCTCCCCTCTCTCGTGCACGCGCTAGCTGCCAGAGCATGTGAGAAAACCAGAAGCATGGCTGCAAGTGGGAGTACAACTGCCGCTGCGCCTCGGCTTGTTGAGAAAAAAGACGCCAGAAGCGATGTATTTTAGCTATATCTCTGACAGTGAGGGCAAGCCTACGGACACCACGAGGCCCGTCTGTAAGAAATGTATTAATTTTATTTAATACGAATTCTTGTCATTTATTTTATTTATTGTTCTCATTGTTTAAAAGTTTGTGTTATGGTTATGGTTCTGGTGTGAAATAAAGCACAATAATTACATTTAAGACTGTTTCCCTTTTTTTAAGAAAAAGAATCGGAATCGCAATTCTTGACTTGGTATCGAAACCAAAATGTTGGGATCGTGACAACACTAGCTACTCCTGACAGTTAAACCTGATATTTAGTAGGTCTGTTAAGTATTGAATGCTGATAATTCTGACGTAATTTGGCCGGTCAAAGTTGTTCGGGTTCGGATAAAATAGCTCCGTTACTTTCGTCCCGTGTTACTTTCGTCCCGGCTCTCCCTACGTGTGTATGTGTGGTGTCAGGTGTCAGTATGAGAGGATGACAGCGCGTCTAATTTTGATGTGGCCCAAGAGCCAATCACAATAATACCTGTGATGCAGTGAACCAATCACCTTTGAGGGGGGGGAAACCTATCGTTGATTAAACACTATCCCGTGTTTCCCCTACCATTGTCTTAGAGGGGCGCTGCCCGCCAACGGAGCCCCGCGCCCCGCCAACGGAGCCCCGCGCCCCGCCAACGGAGCCCCGCGCCCCCCCCCTGGAATTCAAGGTGTTATATATATATATACCACCAAATTGCAAATAATCTATAACTACTGTCACTTTTCACATTGAACATGTGCTCTTTTATTAAATAAACTAAACGCTTTCATCTTAAGTTGTGGGTTTAGTGTTTTTGACCCTAGGAAACACTGATGCATTAATCAATAACAATAATCCACAGCTCCTCTCTCTGCTCCAGAGGATTAAAAAAATATATATCCCAATGCCACAAAAATGCATCAGTGACGTGGTTGAAATCTTGTCTCCAGAAAACAAAAAACTGAAACAAGCGGTATCAGTGACTGTGTGTTTGATGTGGCTCTTTGCAATAACATAGAAAAAATGTGGCTCTTAACCTCTGACTGGTTGGCCACCCCTGCGCTAGCCAATCAAACCGGTGCAAGCTGGAAGAACCAGACCCGCAGTTCATTTCTATATTCCACAAAAATGGAGGAGAACTTAGTTATTGCGGTAGCAAATCACCCGGTTCTTTATGACCAGTCCCTATTTACTTACCGGGATACAAACCGGAGGAGCGAGGCATGGAGGGAGGTGGCAGAGGCAATGGGTGAAACTGGTAGGTTTTCGCTTGTTTGGGGATTTTATATCCAGTTTACTTCGTTGCTAGTTTACTTCGTTGCTAGCAAGCATAGACAGTATCATTAGCCAGCATGGAATGTAGCATAAAATAGCACCATAGACATTAATCTCATAAATGTTCAAAATGTTCAAAGAAATAGTGGAGAAGAACCGGGTTTTTTTGCTTTGTATGTCGGGGGCGGGAGATTCATGTGATTGGTTGTTGGTCGCGAAATCCCCAAGCTTTCAGACACGCCCAGCTCCAAGATTTTCAAGATTTTTGAAAAGCTGCTGTGTGGACGTACCGTTAGGGAGATAAAAAGCAGGATACTTAACATGGCCAAACACCTGTTGAGAGACTGCATTGATCTCGCCCATCAATGCAGGATCAAAGACGGCTGGAAGTTTGACATCTGGCTGTTTCAGGTCCACTAGTCGCTGGTAATTCCACCGGGCCACCCCCGTCATCGCCTGAGCTTGAAACAGCTCTGTGGAAACGCGTGTGCCAGTGACCCACTGAGCCTGGTGGAAGTGATAGCCTTCCTGCTGGGATGTGCCTCTGATGGGGATCCATACAGGAACTTTGGCTCCTTCACCTGGCACATGGTTCAGCTGTAGTGTTCCTCCATGCCTGTACATGATCCCTCCTTCCACCTCTGGATCGCTCAGGCAACCTCGCAGGATGTGTATCCGCTGAATACGCCAGCATTTCAGCAGAGAGGCTTTGAAGAGAGGGCGCCCGTTAGGGTCTGTTGCAAGGTGGAAGTGCTGGAAAACCCCCTCCACTCTCTTGATGAGCTCCTCGGGATGTGGGATCCTGATCCTGCAGTGCTCATGTGTGTGAGGCTTTGTTGGCTTGGCAGGCTGGATTCCACAGAAGGCCTATGCACCGTTAAGCCTCTGCAGGTCTTCCTGATCCACCACAGAAAAGGCTGCAGACAGGAACTGAGCCAAAGAGCTGTAGAGGGGGATGATGCTCGGACACACACTCACGCATCAATCGCCTCAAACAATGGAACAGGTCAAGCTTGATGAGCATGTTCGCATTGAAGTTGGACCTTGATGCACATGTATTGAGCACGTTACCGGAAGTAGCCTGGGTAGGGCAAGACGTGCGTAGGTGGCATAGAGCGACAGCCAATGAAATTGCAGCATTACTGATGCTGTCCATGGTGCTGAACCACTGTCTTAGCCAGCTGATATTTCTTCTGTTCGCAGGTTCGACCCCCGGTTGGGGCAAAGTCTGTGATACATTATCAACGATAAAGAGCTATCTGTTAATCAAGAAATGTGAATCCTAATGTGTTATAGTAACTGTTATTGTGGTTATATTTATTTATTACCTTCAAAAGAAAAACTCCGAAGGCATTATTTATATTTAAGATATGGACCATGTAGTATAAATAATTTACTTATGAATGAGACATGTAGATATTAATCAAGAAAACATCTTTATTGTAAACAACAGAAACAAAGCAGCTTATGTACAAAACATATAATATATAAGTAACAATAAGGTAGAAGTAAATAAAGTAAATAATATTTTGTTAAATAAAGTAAATATAAAAAAGTAAATAAAGCAGTAGTAAATAGAGAATTAAATAATGTAAAAGTTTTAAAACACACAGGATGACAATTTGGCATTAACAGACACACAGGAGGAAAACAACAGAAGTGATAACTATTCATGAAAAAAAACCTTGTCATTTTCCCTTTTCAGCCTCCCATCTTTTCTTTTCAGCCTCATAAAAAGCAGACTCCTTGAAGTTCTTCCAGGTCATCTTCTTCTCCATGCCCTGATCCCTGTAGAGTGATAACACTTTAGCAGGACAGTACACATACTTCCCTGCTACTCCTGGGAATCCTGTGTGAATGAGGACTGTTTGGGTACCTTCAGCACCATAAGCTTTAAAAACGTTGGTGGAGCAGTAGAAGTATCTGACAGTGCCCTGCATGTAGAGGTGGTGGATGGAATACCCATCATTTTCGAAGCGGGCATTTGGCTGGCCGCAGGAAAGACAAGTCTGTTTCTTTGGTTGTTGTTGTTGGTGTTTGTCCATAATGTTTCTGACAATATTCTCAATATATTCTTGTGTCAGAGGTGTGGCTGGGGTCTGAACAGGAGGTGTGGCTGGGGTCTGAACAGGAGGTGTGGCTGGGGTCTGAACAGGAGGTGTGGCTGGGGTCTGAACAGGAGGTGTGGCTGGGGTCTGAACAGGAGGTGTGGGGTTGAAAACAGCAACAGGCATGGTAACAACTGGCACCCTGGTGGTCTCACTACCCTCTGTGAGAGAGTGCCAGAGGACCTGCCTCTCTTGCAGTTTCTCCGGGCTGATGTTTATGGAGGAGCTGGTGTTCAGAAGCTTGCTGAGATGCTTCACATACTGACAAATGTGGTGTTTTGTTGTTGGGTGAAGCATACTGTTTGGGTCTGTGCAGGAGTCAAGCACAAGAGCAGCATAGTCCTTGTCCACAAGCTTCAGCATGTCCTTCTGACTATGGTGTTTGTTGAGCAGGTTGTCAACAGCCTGCCTCATAGGGCCTGTCCAGCGCTTGTGGTCCAACACAAACACCCTCCCACCAGTCTTCACAGGTCCAGTGCGAGCCGCAGTTGGCGAGGACAGCAGAGACTTCAGACATGTGGTTTCTATAACAACAAAAGACAGATATTCATTAATGTCTAAGAAAACAAAGGTTCTGTATAGAAATAAATGATTGGAATCCAGTCACTGATGCTGAAGGATTATTCACTACTTTGTCTGTGCGTCTAAAGTTTACCTGGCTCTGTGTGAGGCTCCAGAGTCGTTCCTGCAGTCACCTCTTGTTTTACTGAAGGAAGGTTTGCAGGAAACTGAAACAGCTTGGTTGGGGGGATGAAGCGTGGCTGAAGAAGCTCAGACTGGGCAGTGGGGTTGCTGCTTTGAGGAGGTGTATCCAGGGCCTGGGTAGAGTCTGCCTTACTCCTGTGCTTATCCCAGTCTAGAGGAACTGGGCGGCAATCAGGCTCCACATATTCCAGGCCAAACTTCTCTCCAGTGTCTCTGTTAGGGAGATAAAAAGCAGGATACTTAACATGGCCAAACACCTGTTGAGAGACTGCATTGATCTCGCCCATCAATGCAGGATCAAAGACGGCTGGGAGTTCAACATCTGGCTGTTTCAGGTCCACCAGTCGCTGGTAATTCCACCGGGCCACCCCCGTCATCGCCTGAGCTTGAAACAGCTCTGTGGAAACGCGTGTGCCAGTGACCCACTGAGCCTGGTGGAAGTGATAGCCTTCCTGCTGGGATGTGCCTCTGATGGGGATCCATACAGGAACTTTGGCTCCTTCACCTGGCACATGGTTCAGCTGCAGTGTTCCTCCATGCCTGTACATGATCCCTCCTTCCACCTCTGGATCGCTCAGGCAACCTCGCAGGATGTGTATCCGCTGAATACGCCAGCATTTCAGCAGAGAGGCTTTGAAGAGAGGGCGCCCGTTAGGGTCTGTTGCAAGGTGGAAGTGCTGGAAAACCCCCTCCACTCTCTTGATGAGCTCCTCGGGATGTGGGATCCTGATCCTGCAGTGCTCACGTGTGTGAGGCTTTGTTGGCTTGGCAGGCTGGATTCCACAGAAGGCCTATGCACCGTTAAGCCTCTGCAGGTCTTCCTGATCCACCACAGAAAAGGCTGCAGACAGGAACTGAGCCAAAGAGCTGTAGAGGGAGATGATGCTCGGACACACACTCACGCAGCAACCGCTTCAAACAATGGAACAGGTCAAGCTTGATGAGCATGTTCGCATTGAAGTTGGACCTTGATGCACATGTATTGAGCACGTTACTGGAAGTAGCCTGGGTAGGGGTGGCATAAAGTGACAGCCAATGAAATTGCAGCATTACTGATGCTGTCCATGGTGCTGAACCACTGTCTTAGCCAGCTGATATTTCTTCTGTTCGCAGGTTCGACCCCCGGTTGGGGCAAAGTCTGTGATACATTATCAAAGATAAAGAGCTATCTGTTAATCAAGAAATGTGAATCCTAATGTGTTATAGTAACTGTTATTGTGGTTATATTTATTTATTACCTTCAAAAGAAAAACTCCTACGGTATTATTTATATTTAAGATATGGACCATGTAGTATAAATAATTTGATATACCCCTTTGTTATTTAGTGGGGCTTGAGCTATAGGCTTCTGTATTTTGTAGATGTGTTTACGTTTAGCCTGGAGGACCTGGTAGTCCAGTTTTCGCGGCTTTATTTTGTTCCCATGGGGTTTACATTTGACTTTTGGTTAGGGGGGGGAGCTCTGGGTCCTACGGCCCCTGGTGTGGCTGGCTCGGGCTCTCTCCTTCTTTTTGTTCCTTTTGGCCAGTCCTCCAGACCTTTTTCTTTTCTTGTTTGGCCGTTGTAGAAATGGGCTCAAGAATAATAAATGCTCCCTCGATATCCAGCTGGAAGACTTCATGGGAGCGAGACGAGCGGCCATTTTGGGCCGTCTGGGCTGTGGAGCGGTTGCGATTGGTCAACATGATCAGACGGAGAAGCTGGCAGGAGGAGAGGATCGGTGTTAATTTTGGCAGCTGTTTTTGATTTAGTCTTTAGCCGAAAATGGTTATTAGTTTTAGTCATTTCTATCCTTCATAGTTTTAGTCTAGTTTTAGTCGATGAAAAATTACATTTTAGTCGACTTTTAGTCAAAATGTTTTCTCTCTTTAAACCTATTCAGTTAGGCAAATACAGGTTTCTGACATTGGAATCAAGGTGACAGCATCAAGTGTTGACAGAATAATAAATGCTGGTTACTAAGTACTGGTTGTTGCGTGTGTTTTTCATGTTGCGGGTCTGAGCGCGAGCCACTACAGCGGAGTAGAGGTTGTGGCCGTAACTTATTGGGGCTCGTTCAAAGACTGTCTCGGGCAGGTGCCAGTTTGGGGAGTAGTGCTACTTTTGTAGAACAGCCCTTGACAGCATGTGTGGTTTTTTTGTGTGCAGTGTAGAGTAGAGTTGCTTGAGTAGTAGCCTAACTGGTGGGAAGTTGGACGCGTGTAGTAAACAGCAATTATTATGAGCAGGTCAAAGCTGCAATACTACGAGCCTATAAACTTGTGCCAGAGGCATATCGCCTACCATGCGCCTATATGACGTCGGCTACACCCTCTACCTGATGGACAAGGTGGAAGAGGAGGAGAGAGGTGGGACCTTCAACCCCCAAGGGCCTAGCAAGGACAGCCTGCTGTCGTTTCTGCACTACGCCAGGAGCTTCCAGGAAATTGAGGATCTGAGGAAGTACCTGTGCTCCAGGAAGCCTGCCCCACCAGTGGCGTCAGAGGGGGAACATACTGTCGGCTTTGGAGCCAGGGCCAAAGACACCTGGAAGCAGATCTGGGATACAGCAAGATGTACAACCTTCAGCAGTACATCCTCAAGCAGCAGAGGGCTGAGTCCTGTCCACCACCGGCTGAAGGCTGCATTGCATCAGCTACCTCCACTCTGACATCCAGCACTCCAGGTCAGCTCACAGTAATATGCAAATACTGCTTTAAGGTGAACATGACATTGACATAATACATGTTATTGTTTAATCTCCTAGTGATGGAGGAGGACGAGGAGCTGGAGAGGGCGATGTTGAATCTTTCTCCTTCAAAACTCTACACTGAACGAAGTAGGTGGATCCAGTTAGATACACAGTGATTATATAAATGTACTGTACATGTTCAAACTTCATTATAATTCTTTTTATTTTTTTTATTTTTTTACATTGTCACGGTGTCATACAGTATAGTGCTCACGTTTTAGGTAAAGTTAAGTAATGATATCATCGTCTCTGTTTTCATTTTTCACAACTTCTTAAATGCTGCTTCTTAATTTCGATAATGTGTATACGTCACTTGCCTGTTTGTATCTCATCATCCCAGATTCATCACCACATAATATAGCCCCTGTGGAAGCGCAGGGAGACACTGTCCTCGATGAAGGTATGGATATCTGTGACACTGTATTATAGCAGTCATTTATATAGAGCTTTATTCAATTGTATCTGATGTAACTGATGTTTTACTGTGTTTTTCAGCTCTGACTTGCCCAGTGCCTCCTGTCCCCTTAGCAGCACCACACCAGCCTGCAGCCTCTGTTCCGGGCTATAGTGAGGATGTTGCCCACTGGAACTGCTCGCACCAGCAGCAGATTTGGATGAAGACTGAGTTGGAAACATTGGGTCTGTGGCCAGGTTCACGTCCAGTGAGACACCTAATGAACATGTTGTCCCTGTGGCGTTATCCGCCTCAGCCTGAGCTCATAGACTCAATCTCTGACCTGCCTTCACCCAAGTACTATCAGCTTCATCCATATTTCATTTGGAAGCCAGAGCACGCGATCATGGAGAGGGTGAGAAACAACTTTGTCTTGCCCTGTCTCTATGGCTCTCCCAACCCTCAGGTCGTTTATTTTGGCATTGGAAGGCCAAGAGTCATCCTTGGGACAAGCGGCCAGTACTATATTTTAGCTTTGCGACTCACCTGCAAGGTCTGCAAAAAGTACTGGCATGCTGACAAGCCCCAGTGGCTGGAGAAGCTACCCCAGCGCATCAGCAACATCGTGCCGGCCTTCCTGACGCACAAAAAGGCCGTCTGCAAATCTGTACTGGATGAGATGAGACGCAGCGGCAGATCCCCAGAGGACACGTCCAAGCAGCTGACGGAGGCGCTCAATCTCAAATATGAGAGAGCTCACCTGGCCTACTTGCTGTGTGTGCAGAATGTCAGGGATGCTGAGGCAGGAGTCTACGGCCAAAGGACCATCACTGGGTTCCTCAGACAGGAAGATACTCCGGCTCCATTTGGTGGATACTCGGACGGTGATGGCTGGTGTGGAGTTTCTGTCTCTTCCCACTACCTGGTGGAGTGCCTGGTCCGTGAGTATCAGCGGCAGGAGGAGCTCCTTACTCTGCTGCTTCAGGGGACCTTTGGACAGGCCCTGAGGTCTGATCACACTCGCAGAGTGGCTAGGAAGGTTGTGCGGTCGTCTGGCACCATGTCTTCCTATGCCATCATGAATGAGAACTGGATGATCCTGAGCTGGGTGATGCTGCAGTCAGAGTGTGATAGGTCCCTTAACCCGTTGTATGAGGGTCTGTCTCAACGCTACACTGTGGCTGGAGTGGAGAAGGCACGCTACCAGTGGGTGGACAGGTATAAACAACAAGTTTAAATTGAAAACAGTTGATTCTTTTTGTGCATTTAATTCTGTAATCTGACTCTTCATAAATATAATACACATGAATAATTACAGTTAATTATTACACACATTTTGTACGAAGATATTGTACAAGGTTTTCAGCTGTAATGACATTTCTTTGTAATGCTTTAGGGACTGCTGCGCTGCCTTCAAGGTCCTTCAACCTGGGGCTCAGGAGCACTTGTGGGACAGCTGGAGGACCACAGATGCTATCCTGGCAGAGGCCACCTCTGGAAATCTCAAGAACATTTGCGCATCAAGGAACAAGTTTAACAAAGACATTATTGTCAAGTTGGACTTGTTTCATTGTATGCGGCGGTTTACCAGGGAGTGTGTCTCCGAGCATCATTCGTTGTACAGCTCCTTCTGCCAGTTCCTCTCAGCAGCGTTCGTTGTGGTGGACCACAGCGATCTCCAGAAGCTGAAGGAGGCGTACACGTTCTGCAGAATTTCTCCTGCTAACCCCACAAAGCAGCACATAAGAGAGCACTGCAGGACAAAGGTGCCACAGCCAATGGAACTGCTGCAAAGAGTGGAAGACGTCCTCCATCACTATTACATGGCAAAGGATGCCAATGATTTGCTCCTTTTCAAAGACTCAATGTTAAAGGTGTGGAGGATCCAGCGCATCCACATCCTCCGAGGCTGCCTGAGCGACCCTGAAGTGGGAGAGGGAATCCTCTACAGGTATGGTGGCACCCTGCAGCTGAATTACAACAAGGGCGAGGGAGCTGCCGTGCCTGTGTGGATCCCTGTGAGAGGCACCTCTCAGCAGGAGGGTTTCCACGGACACCAAGCCCAATGGGTGACAGGCAACCGGGTGTCCTGTGAACTATTCCAGGCCCAAGCTATGACTGGAGTTGTGCGCTGGAACTACCAGAGGCTGGTGGACCTGAAACAACCAGATGTGGAGCTGCCAGCCGTGTTTGACCCCCGGTTGATTTCAGAGCTTAACACCATCTCTGTAAAAGTGACAGGAAGGTCCAAATACCCAGCACTGCAGCTCTCCAACAGGGACACGGGGGAGAGATTTGGACTGCAGTACGTGGAGCCAGGCTGTCGTCCTGTTGTTTTGAACTGGGACAAGAACAGGGCACAGCCAAACAACCCAGCGGCAGTAGCCATGGAGACAGAGCATCATTGCCCTGCCCCTACTGTTGTAGTGGGCACAGACTCTCAGGTAATCCAGTTCATATTTATATCTACTTACTGTCAAGTACTGACAGACTGGCTGACTAACTAATTCACTATATTTGTGCTATTTCAGGAATCCTGTGCTGCTCCAGTTGGGGCAGTGCCAATTCTGTCTTCCAGTTCCCGGCAGTCCTCTGATGTTGTGACCAAGTCCCTGCTGCCTTTGACACAAGCCTCTGCCACACAAAAACCAGAGCCTTTGATAGATACAGGTCATTCAAATTACCTACCTACTAGGGGTGTAACGGTTCACAAACATTTCGGTTCGGTACGTACCTCGGTTTTTAGGTCACGGTTCGGTTCGGTACGTTTTCGGTACAGCAGAAAAAATTCTCACAAAACATAAAATATATATATATATTTTTTTATTATTATTAAACTGTGAACTCTAATAAATAAAAAATATAACAAAATGAACATAAAAGTGCAGCATTTCGATGAACTGAAATCTGTGCTTGAACTGTACTGTAGTACTCTGTTCGTAATACTAGTACTCAGACCTGAGCAGCCAGCAGATTGACATTAGCCGGCAGATTGCTTCTCATTGTATTTTCAGGTTTTTTTTTAGAAAAATTAACTTGTCCACATTGCTTGCTGAAAGGGCAGATCTGCTGGCACTAACAATGTCTCCTGCTGTGGAGAACACCCTCTCGCTAGGGACAGAGGTAGCAGATACAGCCAGGTAGCGCTTTGCCAACATGGCAACATGAGGATATTTGGCCTCATTGTTCTTCCACCATGCAAGTGGGTCGGAGTCCAGTGAAGTGCTGTCCGCTGCCATGTATGAGGTAACCTCTCCCTTCACCAGCTGCAAAGTGGGCTTGTTTCTCTCCTCAGTGTTGAAGAGCTCACCAAACAGTTCTGCCATGGCTGACTTCCTGATGGGAGGAGGAGGAGGAGGATGGGAGGAGGAGGAGGAGGAGGAGGAGGAGGAGGAAGATTCTACAGATTCCTCTGGGTCTGCTCTCCCTGCGGATGACATGGCTCCTGCTGTCTCTGTGGCCTCCCTCTGCAGAATTAAATGACAGAAATAATGTTATATTTTACATGAGAGTACTATTCACATTGTAACAGCTATAACATGTTTCAAATTAAGCAAAAATTGAATTTATGCATAAGGAAATTAATTAATTGTATACCTGTTCTTCAATGGCCACAATCTCTGTGGTGAGACTGTTGTAGATGTGTTCACGGCAGGCATTATCCACATGAGAAAGGGCCTTGAACCTTGGATCTACAGCTGTGCATTTATGAAGAAAGTCCTGAAGAGCAGGGTCAGTGTATCTGTCCTTTAGGCTCCCTCTGATGGCAGCTTTGACTTCCTTCACAGTTAGACAGTCCTTCTCATTTGGTCCCATGGATTTAATCAGCATTGTTTTGAGAGGCAGGATCATTGAAACTGATGGAGTTGTTTCAGTGCACATCAGTGTTGTGATCGTTTTTAGGGGTTTAAGGACCTCAATTACCTCCTCTGCCATTCTCACATCCTGGTCACTCAATGTATTAATGTTTTTGTTTTTCTTGAGGGTCTTTTCTGTCAATGCTGAGTAAACAGCAGCTTGCTGCTCAAGATACCGCTCCACCATGTCATAACTGGAGTTCCAGCGAGTGGGGACATCATGGATGAGTTTGTGTTTTGGCACATTGAGCATCTCCTGTTTGCACTGCAATATATGTGCAGCTGTTGTGCTACGGTGGAAGAAAGACACAACACTCCTGATTCTGCCTAGCAGCCTGGACACCTGGTTGATTCCTGTTGCTTTTTGTGCAGCTAAATTAATTGTGTGAGCAAAGCATCCAATTTGGGGGCCCAGTCCAGCTTCACTGATTGCATTGACAATGTTTCTTGCGTTATCTGTTGTGACTGGAATTGTGTTACCTGGCCTCTCCAACTTCCATTCTGACACTACCTCCTTCAGTACCTCTGCCAGATTTGTGCTTGTGTGCTGTTCGTAAAGGGGGCGAGTTTGCAGGACGTGGCTTTGCATGTTCCAGTTGCAGTCGGGTGTAATGTAGTGCGCCGTTACAGTTAAATAACTCTCGGTGGCCCGAGATGTCCACCCATCGGTCGTTAGAGCAATAGAAGATGCCTTGGATAGGTCGTGGACAACTGTTGTTTTTACTTTATTGTAAAGTGCTGGTATCACTTCCTGGCTGAAGTGCGGACGAGAGGGAACCTGGTAACGAGGCTCGACCACTCTCAACATGTGTTTGAACCCTATATTCTCCACAACGGAATATGGTCGCATGTCCGCTGCTATGAAAACACCTATGGCGTTTGTGATAGCTGTGGCTCGGTCGGAACTTTTTACGAGTGGTGGAGGCTTAAATGATAGTGGGAGTTGAGTTTGCACTTCAGTCATTTTTCGTTTGATACCGGTAATATTTACGTTCGGGTGATGTCTTTTCAGATGCGTGTGCATGTTTGTTGTATTGCCGGCCGCGTAACCAATGTGTGTCGAACAATGCCGACAAACAGCTTTAGTTCGGTCCACCTGTCTTTGTCCGTCATCGTTGTATGCAACTGCAAAACCATAATGTTCCCAAACCGGAGACTTTAATGTTGGTGGAGGATTTTCGAGCTCCACTTTCCCTGCGTTCGCCATTTTGAGAGTTCCTCAAATTACTGACTAAATTTGAACGCATCCCTGTGACCAGCTCTCATAGCATGTCTCTCTCGTCCAATGAAATTACTTGCTCGCTCTATGACGCGTGGAACCCAATGTGAGCAAATGACTCTGAATGCTGCGCCCGCAGCACCTGAGATTACTTCCAAAAAGTTGTTCACGTTCTAATTTTTTTACGTTTAACGTTATATTCGTTCGGTACACTTCGGTACACACCCGTACCGAACCGAAGTGCCCGTACCGAATAATTTCGGTACGGGTACGTGTACCGTTACACCCCTACTACCTACACTACCTCACTGTTAAAAACAGGCGTGCACATAATATATGTAATATCATCATGTTGAAATATTGTTTATTAACAACAATCATTAAGCAAGTGTATGCAAACTGTAAAAGCCATTGAAAAGCATAATAGAACAAGAGGTAGGAATATAAGATAATCATGTATTTGTCCCACAAAAGTTAAATTAGCTGTGAAGTGAAATGACTAAAAGAGCTAATTGATTTGCAACACACTGGCATAAAACAATATAATTAACATATATTTCTTTTTTAGACTTGACAGGGGTAGCACCGCTGCCTCAGTCCTCCTCTCCTCGAGCCACCCGCACTGGACCAATTAAAACTGGTGGCCTCATTCAAGTCTTGGACCATGGTCGGTGGACAGAACCCATGAAAGCTGCCATCGACGAGCTTCTGGTAAACCACTGTGGTGCCAAAGATGTCCTGAAGCGGGTGGATGCGGACTACGCTGCCATGGTCCAGAGGGGATGCACAGACCGGAACAGCCTCCTTCACCCGACCACAGTCCAACATATCTCACGATATGTGAAACATCTGGCAAAATTAAAAAACACCAGCTCTTCCCTCAACACATCCCCAGAAAAGGTCTTAGAGACACAGCAGCTGTGGCATAGTTTGACCTCAGGTAGCCAAACTATCAGTGTGCCTGTCATAACTCTGCCACCTGCCATATGCAACCCTCCAGCTGTGGCTCCCAGACAGGAGGACTCACTGAGCAGGGCTTCAGTGGAGAAGATTGTGTCAGACGTCCTGGCAAAACAACAGCAGCAGCAGCAGCAACAGCAGCAACAGCAGCAGCCTCTGAAAAAGACGCCTAAATCCAGATATCTTGGGGATGGCTCTTCAGTTCATTTTTTTTACCAGTCAAAAACGGTAAAATACTTTTACTGCTCCACCAAGGTCTTTCAGACCTATGCTAAAGAAGGCCTCAAAGACACCAGGATGTCTTTTGAGAACTTTGCTGCAACTGCGTTTTTTGAGCGAGAGCTGGAGGCTGCCAGACAGAGGGGGGCAGAGTGGAGAAAGGTTGCAGAGGAGAGAGGGAAGAGGAAGGCAGCTGTGCAGCTGCCAACAGGCCGTCTCTGCAGGATTTGTCACCAACCCCTGAAGCAGGGTCCCAACAGCCCTCATATCCATGCATACTTCCCAGGGGTTCCAGGGAAGTACATCTACTGCCCCTCCAGAGTCTTCTCCTTATATAATGCACAGGGCATGGAGAAGGAGATGACGTGGCCGGACTTCCAGCAGTCGGACTTCTATGATGCTGAAAGGGACAGATGGATTGCAGACAAAAGGAAGCCCTAACATACCCTCACATACACACATGCACACGCCACTTCCTGGGTCTACTAAGTTGCATACTAACATACAAACTAAGACGTTTTGCCTGCAACACAAACGAGACCCCTAAACTATCAGCCTTTTCACCAGTCCTGCCAATCCTGCCAATAACAAAACAGTTTTGGTTAATGCCCTCAAAAAACTCAATTAATAATAAAGAATAATAATCATTTCAAGGATTTCTATGGGTCCTCCACTCCAACCTTGTCAGTGCTGGGGCCTTAAACATGTAATGTATTTAAATGTTACACTAGAATATTATATACTAGAATAAATAAATGAACAATAATTGCACTAGAATACAATTAAACAAATACCAAGTAAGAGGGTATAAATCACTAAAATGAGAATAGAATGCAGAATAGTAACCATACAAGAGCATGAGGTGAAAAACATTTCAGATAATGGATGGTGGTGAGATCAAACAAATCTATAACAAAACAATACACTATCTTCTGCTAAATTATAATATTATAATAAATATTAAGGTGCAATACAACATATCATATAGTCCAAAAATACAAAGAATATAATATGGTTCAATCCTTTTTTCAGGATCTGATTGTTCTCTCTGTATTGTGTTTTCAGTGTTTTTTATATATTTGTTGTTCTATTTTTATATTTCTGTTTTTGAATAAATGATCTTGAATGCATCACTGTGGCTGTCTTTACTTGATAGAGGAAGTAATAGTGATAGAAAATGAAACACACTCATATGCTCAATGTAAACATCTGTACAATCAACATATTTAAAATATTAATTATAAGTAAAACTACAAAGATATTATATAAAACATTATTATTACTAATATTAAGATATCATTATTTGTGGTGTTATTGCTATATATTAAGATTAAAATAACTATTATAAGAAGCAGCAAGCAAAGAATAATTCATTTCTAACTCCAAATATCTGTTTCAACTTTAACTTTAAACGTTTGAAAATGTAAATGTAGTGTTTGTGTATAATGAGCAACATTTTGAAACTGAATGCGAAATGTTGTTTGGGTCAGGTGGGATTCGAACCGTCGTTCTTTTGAAGAGGCTTCTGGCCAATAGAAAGTCTTCTATGGGTATAGAGAGGCGAAGTCCCTCCCCTTCCGAAAGCCTCCATGGGACCCCGGAAGCGGAAAATTATACATTGAAGTCAATGGAGAGAGAAAGGTTATCTTTTGATCCCGATTGAATTGTGCCACGAATGACACATATGATGTTTGTCAATTTAAAAGAACATTTTGCAAGTCAAAAAAATACAAATGTGTCGTAAAACTGTGAAGTTACACATTGTTTCGTGTGAAACCGCTCAGTGAACTACAGGTCTCTCGTCTCGCACAATACGCGTCACCAACATAAAGATGGCCGTCACGTTAGCACATTTCACCACATTCTTTCAGAATGAGAATAAAAGTATTTTACGATGTGAAAATCACTACAAGTCTGGGCACGTTGAGAGCTGTACCTATATGAAAGGGGAGTTAGTCGGTTCTGTAAGAGCCAGCATGCGGGACCGGCTTTACAAGGTTTCGGTGAGTAATATGAGTGCAATGTGTAACGTTAATGTCAGCTAGCTAACATTAGCTAACAAGGTACACTAACGTGTTTTGTTTTAGCAACTAGTTTTCTCCTTAAGAACTTCGTGGTCTCTGTGTATGCTGTGGATAACATTAGTGTTCACAAGAACAAGGTACACTCCCGTGTTTTGTTTTAGTTGCTCTTCAGATTGAAGCGGCCAGTTTTATATCGACTATACTGTATGTGTGATCTCCTTTTTCTCGTTGTGTCATTTGAGTTTATTTGCTGTGTGTCGATTCAAGGATGTTGGTTATCTAGTCACAGCTGTGTGTGACTCCCTCTGGTACACCGGTATGTGTTTTCCTAATGTAGAGAGCATTGATTAATTAATAAACTACACAATGAGTCTAGATCCTGACCAAATCCTTTTTTATTGTTGATCAAATGTTTTTCAAAAACGTATTCATACACATTTAGAAAAATACAATGTACAATCACAACCAATACAACACAAATTACAAAAAATACAGAAAAACAAACAATAACAACAGACAAGAGGACAAAACTATGGAAAAATAAACCCTCCCACCCCCAGATCCGGACCATCCTTGTATTATTGCTCATTCAATCTATTATAGCATGCTAACAAATGGTACTTACTTTATTTTGACAGATCTGCATGGGAGACGATGGCGTGATGCAGAGCGCTGTCTGTGATTGTGCACAGGAGATGTACAAATGCAGCCACGCTGCAGCATTGGCAATATTTTCCATGTGGCAGATCAGCTCCACAGATGTTGAGTGCCAGTGGAGGAAGCCTGGCACTTCCAAAGTAGTCCAGCCGGTGTCTCAACTTTACCAACAGCGAGAGGAGACATACAACCCACTGGCCAGAGACATCGCCAACTGTCAACTGGGGGGTTGTAAACGAGGCCGAAGGGGTGAAGGCTTTTGTGGAGGCCTATCAAGTGACAGTGTTCGAATCAAGTCTGGTCTCTTTGTGAGTGAGTCGGGTGTTCTGGGAGCATCACCCGATGGACTTGTGCAGCCATCTGCCCTGCTGGAGGTGAAGTGTCCACACAGCCAGAGGAACATGACCATCGCGGAGGCAGTCCAGTTACCATCCTTCTGTCTCCGTGAGGAGGGTGGGTCATATATTCTCAAGGAGAATCACCCATACTGGCACCAGGTCCAAGGGCAGCTGCACATCACAGACCGGAGTCTCTGCTACTTTGTTGTGTGGACCACGAAGGAGGCGATCATCATCCCCATCCCCAAAGACCCTGCATGGCATGGAAATCTCCTCCTCCTGGAACAATTCTACACCCAGCATATGCTCCCTGTGTTGGCCAGTAGAGAGGAGGACATTTCAATAAACATACTCTTAACACCCTCGGACTCTGCGTTGTGTTTCGTATGTGTGATGGGGTGTTATGCAGAGGGGAGGAAAACAGGACACAGCAGATTGGGATTGTGGTGGAGATGCTGAGCAGTTATTTAATTGTTGCATGTAATTATTATTATACTGCGTGCTTCTTAGTTATTCCATCTTTTGCTGTAACATGGATCTGTATGTAACTCTATATTTACTTGTTATCTACCACACTTCCTTCTACATCATACACCATCATTATACATGATGGTGTATATAGGATATATATATTTGTATACATATCTGTAAATTGTATAATTTTATTTAAACGTCTTTTTGATCTCTCAAACTGAGTAAGATTGACAATAAAGTTGACTTTGAAAAATATATATATTCTTTATGAAAATAGTTGACTGTTGTCAAATGAATCCAAATGAAACGTTGGACTGAACTACAACTACGCCTTTAAATCTCTACGGACTGTTTTTCAGTGGGATGGCAAGTTCCTATCTTTAAACATTTATTAGTTTTTTCTCAGAACAGATTTAATTTTCTGAAGTTAATTTAACTTTGCCGACCATGTAAGGTCATCATTAAAAGGTACAATCAATTTGTTTAGGGTTGACTAAAATAATGAAAAACATTCATTTGGATAATTTACTGACAGAATAAGAAACTCAATGATGCTCTACTCACCTGTTCCCTTTTTATAAAGTGAAACAGTTGAAACGATAGATTTTACTAAACTTAAAAACAACCTTCTCCAAAAGCTATCAAGGAATATACCGAATACTTGTTTTAGAACTTTATTACATATTTTTATATAAATAGTTTGAATGATCCATAATTGACAGAAGCTTGTGTTTACACTGACCTGTTACTCATATATTAATGTCTTTGTAACTTCAGTAAACCACTACCTCACTAATTTCTTTCATTCATCACGGTTCAGTAAACTAAGTGATACATGAACCAGTTTAATCATTATAATAACGTAGGATTGCAACTCTTTGAAAATGTATGTGGCTCTTAAAAGAGCTGTTGTGTTTGGGTGTGCTGGTCTCAGGTCAGTCTAAGCCCTCTCTCCGCGGATGCGGCGGGCCAGCTGGATGTCCTTGGGCATGATGGGGACCCTCTTTGCTTGGTTCATCTTACTGGGGGGCAGCTACATGGATGTCGGTGCAGTCCACAATCATTGCGCAGTTGAAGGCAGAATGAATTTATTATTGACTCCGAATGAAGCACAACTTCATGTCATACAATACAATGACTTTATTTGTAATTGTGTAAAAAAATACGAGCATTGATTAGCAAGCAGGACCTGCAGGAACAGAGAATGGTGATGGAGCTGGGAAGAGAGAAGAATAAAGAAAACAGATCAACTTTATTATCGGATATTAAAAATTCAATTTCAAAACAAGTTGCCGCTCCTACAGTTTTCTAGTATGTAAAGATGATTTCACATGACCTATGCAAAATATCACACTCAATACATGTGTGTCTCTGGGGGGTGCATTGTGCCTTTGATGTATATAAATAATATATCATAACCAAATACTATTACGTACAGTGGAAATCAGGTTGCCAGAGCAGGTCAGTGTGCATGTTCCTCAACGTCTCAGCAGTTACAGGTGAGGTAAAGAAAATAAAAGAGAAAAAGGTCAGTAACAACACTTAGTTTAAAGTAACAACACTTTAAAGTAACAACACTTTGAATAATTATCTCTTCTAACAATTTTCTCTCAATAAGCACAGAACGACTGTCTTTCCAACAAACAGATTGTCATCACAATGAAACACGTCCAGAAGAATGTCATGCAAAGCTCCATGCCTGCCTTCGACTCTCCCTGAACTGCTTCCTTAGCACCCGGTGGAGGGCGCAGTAGGCTACTCTTCAAAAGTTTCACGAAATACTTACCATCATGTTTGGTTACTGTTTAACATTTTGGTTTACTTCATGTAATAAAATAATAACTTCATGGTAAGGCTACTACAAATGACAAGGCTAAGTAATGTAATGCTAACTAACGTGCTCGCTACTCGTCGCTACTAGCTAGGTAGCTAACTTGACTATGTTCCATGCACAACATGTATATTACCTATGATATTACCTGATATGTCTGATCCAGCGACTCCTGGTCCTTTCATCAGACGGGAAGAGATAGAACGAGCAAGTGGTATGATCACTTTTATGACTACAACCTGGTACAAAGCACACAGGCATCTTGTAAAAGTGAATTTATTTTTAGCGATCTATAATTTATTGGAGGGAATAAATCAGTTATGAGATCTTCTTCTTCTTCGCTTTAATTACGAGTCTTATTATAAATCACCGAGCATGCCTGTGACATCACTTACGCGACCCAGAATGGGATTTGGGATTTGTAGTCTTTGTAGTAGCGTATTTTTCATAGTCTTATATTTCAGCAGTTTTACGACAAAATGTGACTTTTTTGACACGGAAATGATTGTTTAAGATTGACAAACATCATATGTGTAGTTCGTGGCACAATTCAAACGGGATCAAAAGATACGTGTTCTCTCTCCATTGAATTCAATGTAAATTTTTCGCTTCCGGGGTCCCATGGTCCGGAAGTAGATGGGCGTGACTTCGCCTCTCCATACACGGCTTACCCCCGCGTGACAGGCGGGGATACTGACCACCATGGGCGTCGCCTGGGGTAGGCATCCGGGGCTTTAGCCCCGGATGTTTT